TATTTTTCTTACAGATTTATCGTTCATGTGTAGTAAATTTAGTGTAAAACAGTACAATTTTTTTCTTGTTTTCCCTCTTAAAACATATTAAACATATTTTATTTGAAATTAATAGAAGATTTTAAATTATAATTGCTCATTTTTTGTACATTTATTTAGGTTTTTTTTTTCATTTTTCTATTGAAAGAAACATGCAAAAGATAAGAACTAAGTCGAGTTTTCCTTCCATATTAACAAAAATTGTTTTCCAATGAGGTATTTACCAGACAGTTAAGAACAAAATAATGATTTATTTCATCTCAGTAAGAAGTAATAAATGGAAAAATACCGGAAATTTCTAAGAAAATAAAAAAAAAATTCGAATTTTTTTTTATTGCCTAAAATATCCGAAATCATTCGGAAATGCATAAAGGATTCAGCCAGAGATATGATAAAGGAATATGCCAACACCAAAATATTTCAAAACTTAAAAAATAGTTATTGGAAAAAGTACGAAACTCAAGCTATTAAGATTATATATGGTAAATAATACTAAAAATTAAAATTAAAAAAAAATTCAACATGGCGTAATTAATTTAATTAGGAAAAAAATTACAAAACATATAAAATTAATACTCAATAAATTTTCAAATAATTTATAAAAGAAACTTTTAATATAAACAATGAAATTACAAAATATAGTATAAAAGTTTAACATTCAAATGACAAGTCATCGTTTCAGTTAAATAAAAATAGATAAAAATATCTGACGAGACTAAAATTGTTGAAAGTTTTCCAAAGTAATAACAAGAATATTCTTTATTATTCCTATCGCATCTTTTTAAAAATATTCAGTCGAGAGAGGATCAAAAGTTTTTTTTTTTTTTATTGAGAAAATCTACCTGGATGTGAATAACTAGAATATATTTTTATTAAGAAAAGTAGATAAGTAATCGCTCTATATTGAATATTTTCTGTATAAAACCTTAAAAATAATTTTTTAAAATAANAAATTATAGCACGCGTACAGACATAGCAATTATATAATTCATCATAAGTTTAAGTCATAATAGATTACACGAAATCCTCAGAAAACTTTTTTATTTATTTATTTTTTTTATTTGTTCGAACAGAATGAAAAATGATTCTTTGGCTTTTTTTATTTGTCTAGAAAAATACTCTCCCCTCCATTATATATATATATATACGAGGAAGAAAAGAAAAGAAATATACTTATAATGACAAGAGATTGCGTGGTTCAGTTTAATTGATACATTACAATACAAAAATTCTAAAGGGATTCGTAAAGAAAATATTTTAAAAAAATAAAGATAAAAATCTAATTGAAATGGTGGAAAAAAATTGCTTTATTCTTGATAAAAATGATCTTTGCTTCCAGTTTGATTCAATTTGCACTCACCAAATCTTAACTTATTAAATAGTAATGTCTTCCTCTATTCTATAAATACTAAATCAAAGCATGTTTCCATCTTAAAAATATAAAGGAATTATTTTTTAAATATTTATTGTGACAATACAGAACAGCAATTTTTAATCATATTTTTAATTTATTTAACTGCTTCCAGAGGAAAATTTTTGAATTGAAATAACTTGACTTTCGATTTTTATCGGAAGTTCGTATGTATCGAGATTAAGGAAAGACTGACAGACTGACAGACTGACGGCAATGAGAATTTATACTGTATATCTATAAATTTTTCAAATTGAATTCCATAATTAATAAATGTCGTAGCTGCAATTGTGTATATAAAATTCTAAAGAATCACTTTTACAAAGTTTTAAAAATACAAGTCGACCCCCCTATAACACTGTTGATAATTCCGTTTTATATGAATTCCATGTTGTACGAGTCACTTAGATTTTACAAATACATGAGCTGTTCACAGCCCTGCACACGTATTTGTAAAATCTAAGTGACTCGTACAAAATGGAATTCATATAAAACGGAATTATCAACAGTGCTATAGGGGGGTCGACTGGTATCTTATTATGTAAAATGTTTTTTAAATAATGAAAGAATAAAAAAATTTTAGACTTTTAAAGTTAAAATATATGCTCTCGATTTTAGTAGTTTAGCCCCTGTATATCGTACTTTTCCTGATAATGAGAGAGTAATTCCGGTCATCTATGTAACTCCATTCTGGAGTAAAGATTTGAATTAAAATAACGTAATTTACGGTATAAAATGGAAGTTAGTAGCCTATATGATTAATCGGGGTCTCCTGCCCTTACTCTTTCCATATCTAGTCTCAAATTTCATCTAAATGACTTCTTTATCGATATTAAGGAAGGACAGACAGACAGACAGTGGAAATTTATAAGTGCAATTTAAAAATTGCGACCTAAAATTAATGTATCATTCTCAATACTTTAACGTTTGAATATTCTTCCTCAGTGCAAAATACTAACGTCTTAATACCTTTGTACTGATGATTATAATATATTTTTGTATTATAAATGTAGAAACATACCTTAAACTTTAACATAAAACATTGAGAAGTGTACCTTTCCTCAGTACCTTGTATAAATATAGGAGAAAATGGAGGAGAAATTGGATAGATTGTTTTAAATGTCAACAATGTCATAGCTTCCTGATCACGAATCTTCTAATTTGGCTGCTTCAGATTAGTTCTAACATACTCTTACACACTAAATATGTATCTGAGAGAGTGTATAGCTATCAAAATGGCGGTGAGAAATGATTTGCTTCATGCTTTATTTAGTTTAATAGCAACGAATGGCTAAAAGTGTAGGTTGGGGCATGTTACGCTGTAATGTTTGGTTTACTTAAACTAGTCGCGTAAAGTTTACACTGAAAGAAGTGCAAAATACATACGCCAAAACTGCGACACTGATAATGATAGACGTATATAAATGCTTATAACAAGTCATATAATAACCCGTCCCCATTTAGGGGAGTTGCTATATTATGCATCACTTTGTTACTTTTGTTTTTCTACAATTTCGTATTATTGGAGACAAAAATAATTATCGTAATAAACCTGAATACGTGTGAAATTTGATTTCATTACTTCCTTAACCGAAATATAAATAATATTTTTAAAATTGTAACAACAGCCCCCCCCCAGTTTTCCTACTTCCACAGTACAAAATAGAAGAATTATTCAAGCAAATTTCATTAAGATAATGTAAATTCCTAGTATGTAAATTATATAACTTAAAATTATAATCTTTCCAGCAAATAAAATATATTTTTCAATTAATTAATTATAATATACAATCAGGCCCTCATCTTCTTACAGCCTCACTTACTCATTATTAAGGTAGTGTTCTATATTTATATTTGTATAATGCCTCTGAAGAAATTGAATTGGGGGGCCTGAAAACTGCTTAAAATAACCCTCTACGTGTGATTTATATATGGAGGAAAAAGTGTATTTATTTATATTTTTCTTACAGATTTATCGTTCATGTGTAGTAAATTTAGTGTAAAACAGTACAATTTTTTTCTTGTTTTCCCTCTTAAAACATATTAAACATATTTTATTTGAAATTAATAGAAGATTTTAAATTATAATTGCTCATTTTTTGTACATTTATTTAGGTTTTTTTTTTTCATTTTTCTATTGAAAGAAACATGCAAAAGATAAGAACTAAGTCGAGTTTTCCTTCCATATTAACAAAAATTGTTTTCCAATGAGGTATTTACCAGACAGTTAAGAACAAAATAATGATTTATTTCATCTCAGTAAGNTATATATATATATAAATCGAAGGGAACTTATTTAAAACTAGAATATTTTCTCATTCGTTTCAATTGATGTTGATTATACAATGAGCGGTTTCTGACATGTAAATGTCATCCATGTATGTACGACACACAACTGTATTACTTGTCATGTTTACTTGCCTTCAAATACATTCAGGAGCTCTGTCAGCAAAATCCAAACGCGAACAGTTCTCGGTCGTCATCTTGCAGAATTGCACAGCTGGTGTTGGAATGAAAAAATCCTTTCATAAAACTATTCACTTAAAAAAAATGTATAGAGATGGATCAAATTTTCTTTTTTATACATCTCATAGAACATCAGAATATATACATCAAACATCCATCACTATTAAGATTTTTATTTTATATTTATTTATTTATTTATTTATTTTTCGAATCTATACAGATTAATAAATTAATTAAGATGATTTTACAAAACTTTCTTTTCTAAAAATTATTATTATTATTATAATTTTTTAAAAAAAATTAAATTAATAACACATCAAATATACACCTAAACGACAGTACGTTCTGCCTGTTTGTTCGTTGCTTTCTCCATATATTTAAAATATTTTCTTTTCCGCTCCCTAGATGGCAGTCAATTGCAAACACATATGTGAAAATTATAGTCACTCGCAGGTTTGTCGTATGACATTTTTAAAACCAATTAAATAATAATTAATACGTTGGAAAGAGGTGTAAAGTTTTAAATAAACGATAATCGAGTTACATTTAAAGTTTATTTTATACTTTATAAAATTGATAAATGTAAGTGTGTGTTTGTGTGTATGTATGTATGTATATATTTCTGCGTGTGAGTGATCAATGCGGAATCACTCTAGTCGAGTTTAAGAGCAATTGAAAACAAATCAAAAGGGAGAGAGAGAGAGGGGAGAGAGGAAAAAAGGAGTTCAGTCGAAATAAAGCTTATTTATAGATAATGAAATTAGACATTGCGATAAAAAAATTCAAAGGAAATCACAGAAGGAAATCTCTTCAAACATAAAATAAAATGAACTTTTCTAAATAGGTTCGAGAACGTGCGAAACGATTCAATTTTTTTTTTCAAATTACACACCCATTATTACCGACCACAATGAATTTTACACACGCATAAATCACACTAAACTAATGAAAATCGCGCGAATAAAAAAACAATGAATTTAAAAAAAATCGAATTCTTTATTTAAAAAAATAAAATACAAAATAAAATTTCGTATATTTAGATGTATCAATACATTTTAAATGGAAGAAAATTGATAAAACTTACCCCGTTTATTGCTTAGAAGTTTGCAGCATCCGAAGAAGCAACATGTCTTTGTAAGGGAGACTCGATGACTGACTCAAACGAGTCCGGACAGTGGATGGAGGATTTCTAGAGAGAGAGGGAGAGAGAGAGAGATGGAACAAATGCGCGCGCAGCATCACATCATTTAGCGTTGCCTACAGCAACCATGGAGTCCAGAGTGAAGACGCGGAAGGACGAAGACTTCCTCAGGAAATGGACTCCTGAGCTTCCCTGCTCTTTTTTTGTACTTATCGTCTGCAAATGGATTGTCGTATATCAGAGATCCATCCTGATCCAATCTAACTTTCCCTAATAAAACTTTATAATTTTTTCTCCCCCTTTATCTCTCTCTCTCTCTTTCTCTCCCCATTCCATTGCTTCTTCAATTCTTTTTTTATTTATTTACGCTTGATTAAGGTAATGTTTCTAAGTGAATTATTTGAAATTTATGTTTATATTTCTTTAATATAAAAATGTTTTTCAGTTTCTCCATTCGTTAATTTTAATTAATATAACTATAACTATTTAGAATATAAATTTAAATCATATTTAAATGTCTATATTATTTTCTATTTTAAGTTATATATATATGTTATTTT